AAATCATTGCTCCTTTAAAAAGAGAGTTCAGTGTGTGTATGGATTGTGACTATGGGTGATCAAATCATTAATAAGAGTACATGATTTAGATATCTCGGGTTTATTGTTCAGAGTGATAGTGAAATAGATGGGGATATTATTAGTAGAATTCAAGTTGGATGGTTGAAGCGGAGGAATGTATCGTGCTTGTTGTGTGGTAGAAAACTACCGCTCAAACTTAAGGGAAAAATTTTATAAGATGGTGATGAGACATGCAATGTTTTATGGTGTAGAATGTTGGCCATTAAAAGAGAAGCATTAAATTAAGCTAAACGTTGCAGAGATGAGGATGCTCAGGTAGATGAGTGATTTTACTCCTAGCGACAGAATACGAAACAAGCATATATGTGTGAAAAGGTTGGAGTAGCTCTAGTGGTAGATAAGATTAGAGAGACTCGCCTTAGATGGTTTGGTCAATAAAACGTCGGCCTTTTGATGACCCAGTTAGGAGAGTAGATACATTAGATTTGGCCTATGTTAAGAAATGTAAATGTAAACCTAAAAAGACTTGGTTAAAAAAACTATTAAAAATGATTTTTTGATTAGATTTAAATGAGAATTTGACTTTTAATAGGACACAATGGAGAAAAATGATTCATATAGCTGACCCCATGTAGTGGGATAAAGGTTTGTTGTTGTTGTATGTTATATTGACTTGATTATATTAGTGTTTGTCTAGTCACTGGGTAGGCTGGCCTTTAATCTTGTTGAGTTGATGTAATTTAGTCTATTTAGCCTTTGACCTTTTTGACCTGATAGAGGGGTTTGATTTGATTCATGAACTTGTTGAGTAATGTTATTAGTTTTTTTGTTCATCCATGGCTACCAGTGCTTTTGATTTATTTCATAGCCTCACCTTAAAGTTTATTGATTCAAGAAACGACCATTTATAATTGTCATGGGATAGGTATATATATATAAGCCATTGGTCTCCATCTTTGTATGCTTTTTGATGATGGGTTTTCCAATCTGGTCTAAATCTTTTCATTGACGAGATGTTGGGAAATGGTCGCTTTCTGACGCACTGATAGTAGATCCCCTACCATGAAAGTTTGGGGTGTGGAACTTGTCATTGTGAGATATAATCATCCTTTTCCAATTGCTTTTTTGAGGTTTGGTTGGGTTGCGCTTCATCTACGGTAGCAAGGCATATAGATCTACTAACTGTGGAAGGACTTTTTTTTTTCAATCTTGTGAGGTTATACTGAATGATTAGATAGGATATCTCGACCTCTTTGGGGATTGGGGAGCACTGTCTTGACTCCAAACACATTCAAATTAGGTTGTAGGATACACCCACAGGCCTATTTCAACTTGTCATGCCATTCTTTCTAGTTTGTAGATAATATTTCCGAGGTACTTGATTTGGATCTTGTCCAGTGCCTTCAAGCTGTTTAAGGGTTGCATATAAATAAAAAATAAAAATAGAAAGACGTAGTTCCCCACTTACATGTGATAATGCTAACAAACGCCTGACCATTTTTCTTAGCAAACTTTTACTTTCATTTAGCAGTATGGAAGTACGGAAAGAACAAATTGAATATATGCATTTTCTTCATTTTTTTCCCTTTCTTTTGGAAATTATGTTAGATTTTGATTTCTGATCTGAACATGTAAAATTTTGTAGATATTGTCAGGATCCCGCTGCCAAACCGCTTTGGCCTTTGACAATTGGTCGCCCATCTAAAGCAGATATTCCCAGATGCAACTACTGTAAAGGCCCTCTTTGCTATGAATTTCAGGTAGTACTCTAAATCTTCTATTTTAAAGCTTTGCCACATCTTTTCCATTGTTCTGGTATTCATGAGCTTTGTGTGCTTAGAAGGCACAGTTGGATACTTCATACAATCAGAAATTTTCTACTTTCATCTCCTACAGCATATTCTTCTCATGATATTTTGTTTTTACAATAATCTTGAGAAATTGTCACCCAATCTTCTTAGGCTTCGTTTGTGATGGCTTTCTTACTGTTTCTTAAAGCAGTTTTTTAGTAAAATAAATAATTTTTTGTAGTAAAAAACTGCTTTAAGAAGCAGTAAGAAAGCTATCCCAAATGAAATCTTAATGTCACTCGTCTGCCTGGCTATTGATGTTGAATGAACTGCTGCTATTTATATACTTTTTTTTGTTATTTTTCGTAATGTTTCTTGATTTCTTAGCTATTATATAAAGAATCTATTTGGCTTGGTTTCAGATTATGCCTCAGTTGCTTTTCTATTTCGGTGTAAAGAATGATCCCGACTCCCTTGATTGGGGAACCATTGTTGCGTACACATGTTTTGCTTCTTGTGATGCTAGCATAAGCTACAAGGAGGAATTTGCATGGGTTCAGCTATATCCTACAGCAACAGTAGCTTGATTCATTAGGGGTTAATCCAGGTTTGAATTCGTAACTTAAAATCTATTTTTTTTGATAGTGAGTCCACAGTTGATTTGTTGACAGATTGTAACGTAGCAGGTTCCATTTAGATAATTTAGCAGCAATGTTCCTTAAACATATCTGCCTTTATATTTAGTGCATGTCACTGATAATTTAGGCAGTCATCTAAAGCAAAGTTTATTATTCTTTTGTTGTCTTACCTATGCATAGGGGTGTAAGTGAGTCGAGCGGGCTCGCGAGCGAGCTTGAGCTCGACTCGTTAACAAGCTCGAGCTCAAACTCGAGCTCGTTTATTAAACGAACTCGAGTTCGAGCTTGACGAGGTTCGGCCCGCGAGCTTGCAAGCCGGCTCGAAATTATTAAATTTAAATATTTTTAAAAAAAAAATAATAATTTTTTGCTTGCATTTTAAATTCCCGCCCGGCTCTCTCTCTCTTCTCGATTGATTTTTATGGTGGAACTCGTCTACGTTTGCACTCCTATTCCCGCCCTAGGTCGCGAGCCGGCTCGAGCTCGTTAACAATGGGACGAGCTCGAGCTCGCTTTACAACTGATGAGCCGAGCTCAATAAGGCCTAAACTCGACTCTTTTACGCCCCTACCTATGCATCACTCGAAAACTTTTTACTGATGCTATGATGCACCTACTTGCTATTTTAGTGAAATTTTAGTTAATTTATGAAATATAAGTGGATTCACTAACTAAATGTTAATTACTTCGATTGTTTGAAGTAAAATTTATATATTTTCTTATGTATAAGAAAATTTCTTTATAGTTCATGAAATTATACTAGTTTTACATAATTGAAACAAGCCATTGCAAAAGATAATGATGCATAAAAGAGATTCAACATAAACATAAGATTTCAATACATCTGTTTAATGAGTAAAGGGAAGTATTATTGCCTCTGTTTGCATAATTGCTAAGCTCTATTGTTCTTCTGCTGTGCTAAAGCATCTCGTTTATGCTCTTTTGTTATCTGTGCTGTGCAGTTTCTCCTGTGCTACTGCGACCTAACGTGGATATCACAGACAGCAATCCAATCCATTTTAACGAACATCTTTGGCTGCATCTGAGCGTGTGAGCCACTTAGGGACAGTTTTGTTAAATGTTATATAGATAGAATATTATTTATTGTTCCATTATTTAAGCTATGATGCACTGTTCTTTTTGCAATATTATTTTATTCAAATAATACTGTGTTGTGTAAAACTATGAATTTCAAAATTTTGGTTTGTTTGCAAAGAATTTCAAAAAATTTCAAACATAAAATAATTCTCTTTAAAAAAATGTTGTACTATCACCATTGAATAATTCGATAAAAGGTCAAATGAGTAAATTTCCTATTGTTTTTTATATAATTAGAAATATGACTCTTTGATCTATCATTCTCAGAGGACTCTAGGAATTTTAGCTTGTAGGATTCATGAGTTCCTAGATCAAATGAAATTTAATATGAAACTTATTCTCGCAAATGGGGAAACCTTGAGGTGAAAGGAAGAGCGAAATAAGGTGAAAAGTTATTTCAAGCTCTATTCTATTATTTAACCATATTTGTTTGTAAATGTTATCGAGAAACAATTCAATAGAAGTGGATAGAATGATAACAATCGATAATATGTAATTCTTTGTCACCATTGATATTTAGGTAATAAATTATAAAAAGTTTTGCATTTGTGTTTGTGTAGGAAAATATAGGAAATGTGTAAAAATTTTAAATATGATATAGTGTTGTGACGTCGGACATTACACCGCCATCATTTGCACAGCCGGAGCGCCCAATATGGACATGATGGTACCAAGTCTTTATTTAATAGCATCGCAACGCCCGAGGAGTCGGCGCTGTAAAGCCCAGTCCCTATCTGCATAGTGTTGCCAAGTCAAGGGGAGTGCCACGTAGACGCTTCAGTGCTTAACCGTTAGTAGTGTTGGAGTGCTACAGTTGTAACCGTTCATGACATGAGCGGCACACCTACTCATTAAATAGCGGGTCCACATCAACAAGAGCTGCAACGAAGGAAATCCTTCAGCACTTCGGCGTTAGTTCATTTTATGGGCGCCTCGACGCAAATGTCTCGAGCGTCGTGGCGCCATAATTCTTTTTTTTTTTTTTTTCTATAAATATTTATCTGGCTGAGAAAGGAACTTCTGAGGTTGTCTTTCCCCGAGGGGATATAACTACTTGGAGAATATGGTAGTTTTTTCTGGCAATACCGAGCAAATCCCTAGCAAAACCGTGCAAATCCTGAGCAAATACTGAGTTGTACCGAGTTGTACTGAGTTTTTTCTAGCAATACCGAGTTGTACTGAGTTTTTTCTAACAATACCGAGCAAATACCTAGCACCAAGTTGTACTGAGTTTTTTCTAGCAAATTTCTAGCAAATACCGAGCAAATCCTGAGCAATACCGAGTTGTACTGAGTTTTTTCTAACAATACCGAGCAAATACCTAGCAATACCGAGCAAATCCTGAGCAATACCGAGTTGTACTGAGTTTTTTCTAACAATACCGAGCAAATACCTAGCACCGAGTTGTACTGAGTTTTTTCTAGCAATACCGAGTTGTACTGAGTTTTTTCTAGCAAATCCTGAGCAAATACCGAGCAAATCCTGAGCAATACCGAGTTGTACTGAGTTTTTTCTAACAATACCGAGCAAATACCTAGCAATAGCGAGTTGTACCGAGTTGTACTGAGTTTTTTCTTGCAATACCGAGCAAATACCTAGCAATACCGAGCAAATCTCTAGCAATACCGAGCAAATCCTGAGCAAATACCAAGTTGTACCGAGTTGTAAAAACTCGGTACAACTCGGTATTTGCATGATATTGGTCTTCACAGAGCGGTATTTCTCATTTTTACAAAGCAATACCTAGCAAATACCGAGATACCGAGAAAATCGCGAACATAGCATTTCCGAGTTCCGCTCCAGATCAAGTCGTCGGGCTGCGCGATTTAGAGCAAGAGCACCCTGGCGTCATGTTATTGGCGAAGAAACGTAGCTCTACGTCAGGTAAGAGAACTTAATAATTGTTCGTCGGAGTCTCGGAGAGGCCAGAAGCCCCAAAACTGCCACCTTTTCCCGTTCTCGCGCCTATCTTACCTCCGCCAAGCTTTCTCCGATCGGAAAATCATGGCTTTGTACGGATCTTCAAGACGTCAGGCTTTCCGGTTTGGTGCAACGGCGCCGGCACTGCTCTCCACGTTCTTGCGCTCAGCCCTTGCCCGTCCTATCTCGACGGCATTCAGGGAAGAACGCGACACGTTCGGCCCGATCCTGGTACCCGCCGACAAGTTCGTCGTATTCTTCTCCCTCTTCTTTCCTAGATTTCAACTATTACAAATGAGATTGCTTTTCGCGTTTGTTAACCCAGTTGGGTTTATCACTTTCTCCAATTGCATTTTTTTTTGGCTTTGTCGCAGGCTATGGGGAGCGCAGACGCAGAGATCGTTGCAGAACTTTGATATCGGTGGGGAGCGTGAACGGATGCCCGAGCAGATCATCCGAGCCTTTGGAATCCTCAAAAAATGTGCTGCTAAGGTGGGCTAGGGATTCATATTATAACTGTAATGCGGGGATACGTGATCTAAGCCGAACTTAACGGCATATGTAAGAATGTTTTTGTGCTGCGATAAATTGAAGCTTACCCGCATGCTATTCTGCAACGAATTTAACTATGTGGTGCGATGAATTCAGGCTTACGCATATGGTTGCTTGGCAAACGCTATGAAACTACAATTAGGGCGTGGCTTGGATATGTACAATAAATGATAGAAAATACATCGTTGGTGGGGTTGATAAAATTATAGTCATAGGAAAAGAGAAATTTAAGTTAACTTGAATAGAATATGTTAAAATGATTTGCAAAATATAATTTTGATCCCTCATGTAGCACTCAGTAATAACTAATTGAAAAAGATAAATCATGAAGCTTAATCCAACTAGTTGGGATAAGGTTGTTGATGATGATGTTGTATTTGACAGCTTTGTAACAATTCTAAATAGCTGGGATAATGTTAATACTTAATAATGATGATGATGAAGATGTTTCTGTAGTTTGTAGGTTTGCAACATATGTTGTGCCCTATGGTTATGAAAATATTAATCTCCTAGGGTAAGGGCAGTGGCATGTGTGCGCAGTCAATCTGCCTGACCCTTTTTGCAGCATTTCTTATAAAAGTTCGGTGCTAAACGTAGTCTTCAAGAAGGTTTCTATGTGTGAGATAATGTCATGAACTCTGACTGAGGATGGAAAATCCAAAGATATGAATGTTTATCGTAGGCATTATCTTCTTGTTTTTTAGATACTACAATTTTGTTTTGCCTCCTTGAATTGCGGAGGGAGGGAAAAATCTATTGGTTATTCATCGACGCGGTAGTTCTGTGCAACATCACTTCTCATTTCTTGGTAGTATAACTTTTTCCATTCAAAATTCTTTGTAGTATAACTTTGCCATTCAAAATTTCATGTGGTACAATGTTTGGGTTTTATCTCCAGTTCTTCAGATTACGTCCATTTCAAAGTGCTACCAGCATCTGATTTTGCTTCTCAGTTCTTTTTTCTTACTGTACCTTTTTCTGTAATCTGTATTATCTTTCTCCACTCTATTTTAATTATAACACGTAGTTAATATTAGGGATTTCTGTTAAGCATCATTAAGGAGGATCTAATATTTTGCCCAACATGTTTTTTGGAAATAATGAACTCTTATTATAAATCTTATGTATTATAATCTCCCTTGTTTTCTTGCAGTTAAAAAGTTTGGTGTATGGATTTCAAGTAAAAAGCTAATTACTTCATTTTCTTTTGTTATCTCTTAATATCTGAATGAATCTTCGACAGATATTATCATTTCATGAAATTATGGACTTGCATGCAAAATTTTCTTCCGGGTTGTTAAATTATTTTTATTATTATTTTTTTGTAGTTTGATGCCTTTTATGTAGCTTTCTAATTGACCTTCTCTGGCTGAAGGACATCATTGAAGTTGTAATGCAAAATACATTTCTATGCAGGTGAACATGGAGTATGGTCTAGATCCTACTATAGGTAAAGCAATAATTCAAGCTGCACAAGAAGTTTCAGAGGGAAAGTTAAATGAACATTTTCCTCTTGTAATATGGCAGACAGGGAGTGGAACGCAGAGCAACATGAATGCAAATGAGGTAGCATCATTGCTTTCATGCATTTTTGCTTTTTAATAATTAAATATGCAGCATTAAATTCTAGTTTTAGAGTATATTTGAGGCATTGGCGTTGGCATGGGCTGTGATTTCACACCTTGTTTCCATTCCTCCTTGTGTTAGATTGGGAAAGCTACTTATTTGGTTGTGCAGCTGTCAGGGAAGCTGTTTGCATGCTATCTATATCATTCAGCATGGCTTTGTTACAACATTGATGTGGAAGCCCACAACAAACAGTTATCTCAATTTCTTAATGGACTAGCAGATCATCTTGGCATATTTCATGGACATGTGACTCAGGGAATGCCCTATAGCCATTTTTATGGCACTATATTATAAAGCACATATACCAACCAAAAAAACATTACACAAGCACAAGGACATGAGAACAATAAAACATAGGACACAGTATCTCATGTGCACAATAATTTTTTTAATAAAATATTGTTATACAATGTGTAATTAAACACCTAATGCTAATATTTTCTATCAAAAATCATCACAAAGTATAATCACATATATTACATAAAAAGCTTAAGTATTAGCAAAATAAAAAATAACATTGGTTTAATTACAATTAAATTTTAAAATATCATAAAGTTTGCCTATTCCCCTGCACCAAACCATCATTAACATTAATTATTAGACATGATTTTAGTATTGTACTATTTACCCAAAATATCAAAACCCAAAATAAATTATATAATTTTCAAAATAACCATACAAAATATTAACACTACCAATTGGACTATACAAGCATGGCACCAACCTGAATCTAAAATTTACTAAACTAGTATGTTCTGTCTATGTCGTTGTGTGTGCTTGCTATGTCTGACACTCCTACTCTTATTTTGGATAACAAAATTTTCATTATGTTTGGTGTGTGTTACTCCAACACATATTTACAAGTTTTTTTTATTTGTTTGGATTTCATAGGAGCTATATATGCATGTGATCATAAACATGTGATGCAAAATATTTAATCCTTATTTAGCAGTTGAAATAATTTTTATCTGACTATATTCCATTATATATCT